ACAATTAGGGTTTTTCTCTGGACTGAAGGGACGATGAGGGAGGCCACAATGAAACATTAAGGCCTTTAAATAGGGTACAAAACCCTGAAAATTAGGGTTTCATTTCTGCCAGCCTACTCGTCGAGTTGATGCCTCTCAACTCGTCGAGTAGGTTTCCTAACCCGCGTCCCAAATTATTCCTACTCGACGAGTCTGGGGCTCCCAACTCATCGAGTTCCTCTACGAAAGTGAATAAATTATGATTCTAAATACATACCAGAAACCAGACGTTACAAGATTGGCAGTAGAGGAGATTGTAGGGTGTTTTTGTGTTGGTTCCTGAAGGCGTTGATCACCGAGAAATTAATTTCTATAGAGGGTAAAACAACCGGTCCATGGGCTATGGGTTATCGAAAATGACAACCAAATTTTTTTGGGGTACAATGACAAAAATAATTTGAACATTGTATTTGTAATATGACCTACATATATATCCTTTATTTAGTTTATATATTTATCAAGGTTGTAAAAATCGTTCGGCGGTAGCTCGACGGTCGACTGGGTCAAGCGATTAATCAGTTTGGCGGAGATTAATCGGAGGATTAATCGGGAACCATAAATTACTAATAAAACTATTTTAAAACTTAATATATCCTAAGAAAAAATAGTATTTGAAAATTTCAAATTTCAAAATTTTGAAATATTTGGTATAATATTTGAATATTTGAATATTTAAAAATTTAAAAATTTGAAGTTTTGTAAATTTTAGTGTGATATTTGAAAATTTGAAAATTTGAACTTTTTAAAATCTTCCAGCCAAGGACCGCCGAGGGCCGCCAAGGACCGCCTAGCCCTAGTTTGACCGATATTGACAAATTTCCGCCAAACACCCCTAATCGTAATCAGTTGCAGACCGCCTAGCGCCTAGGCGACTGCCTAGGCCGATATTTACAACACTCATATTTATTAGTTGTTTGTTGATTTTAATTGCATTTTATATTTTATAAACCAAAAGTTATAAATTTTATGAAAGCAAAACTTATACATTATATAAAACCAAAACTTATACTAAACGAAAAACCACATATTACACGCAATAATAATAATAATAATAAAATAAAAAATAAAAAACATGTCAAAATGTATTCCGGAACCATGGTTCGAAATCATACTTCAGAATTCCGGAGTCCAATCCGGAACAATGTGTTTCGGAGAATGTGGTTACTTAAAAAAAAAAAAAATCATTTATAAATATTAGATTATTCAATTTTCCTTGTTATAAATTTAAAATTGGCAAAAATACATTATGACGGATTTAAACTTGAGGGATACGTTGCCGACAAGATAGCGGCCTCCTTCCTGTCGGTACGGTGGGTGTTTGGCTTCAAAATCATTGGTCATTAACCCTCTAGTCTTCTTTCTATAATCCACGTCTTTACTATCATAATCTCAAGGTTTACATACATTGTCAATTAGCTTTCTTAATTATTTTTATTTCACTTTGTATAAATTAACCTTTTTTTTAATTATTTTTATACCATTTTGTATAAATTAACTATTATTTTTATAAGACTATACTGATAATTGACAACGTTAAAGGTTGCCTATTTACGATTACATTATATCTTATTTGTATAAAAAGAAAAAGACATGTTTGGTTAACCGTAATATTTTTTTTTCCAAATATTTGAATAAAATATCAGCATTTTTCGAAATAACCACAAGTTTGGTGGACATCACCCATCAAATAATGATGAAATATATGACAACGATACAAACGATTACTCAATGTCAAATCAAGCTAAAGATGAATATTAGGCTTGGGTTAGGTGCAGTAGATGGTGCACTCTCTTGCCACATCAGCTCGAAATACCGCCTCCTCCTTGTAGTTTTGGTGCGGTAGAGACCGCACTATGACACTCCAAGAGAGCGTTCCTCTCTTTCTATTGCCATTACAATTGATCGTTGACTGGTCAAATTTGTTTTAAAAAAAAGTTTTTTTTTCTTTTTAAACCTTTTAAATTGAGTGTGACAGTACTCATTGGGTGTGACATGAAACCACACTTTGTGGTAATGACCGACGTGTCGTCTACGTGGCAGTGAAGACAATGCAACTTTTGTGACATCACTCCCTCGAGTCTTACTTATTTGAGCTAAACCTAAATATCACATGTCATTGGTCACGTCGACTTGTTTATATCCCCATCTGCTTTATCGTCTCCTTCAATTCATACCCTTATATATCAATATAATTAGAGGTATACAGATCGGTTTTTTAACCCGAACTAGAGAGGTTTGAAACAATTTGTATTTTTTTTCAAGAGTGGCAAAACCAATTCAAATTTAAACCAGTTTGGGGCAAAACTGTTCGAACATATAAAACTGGTTAAGAGTTTGATGAAAATTGTTTTATGAAAATCGATAACCTATACTTTCAATATTTTTGCAAACTTGATTTGGGTGTGAGCATTTAATGCAATTTTCATTGTTGATAAAAACAACTAAACAAGAAAAAATAGGTTTTCAATGATATAAGGTGTTTTCGTTCACTCGAAATCGTTTAGGGATTCAAAACGATATTTTTCTTCTTTTAATTTAAAAAAAATGATTGTTGGGTACTCGAAATCGTATAAAGGGTCAAAACGGTCTTGAGAACTTCAAAATTTTGTATTGACAACAATTTGAACAAATGATGGATGAAAACAATATTTTTTAAGGTTTTAAACATGTTTTTAAAATCACCAGTCTAACCAAAACTAATTATGTCTAATATCTTAAGGCTGTGGGGAGTGGTTACACCCAACCCACCGAAAAAGCGCTGCCACCTCTGCGCCACGTCAGCTTCACCACCAACCCACTAAACATTGGAAATGGTTACCACTCCATAATTTTTTTTAACATTATATTGGTTACCACTCCATAATTTTTTTTAACATTATATTAAATAAAAAACATAATTTATAACATAAATTAGTTTTTTGTAACATAAAAAAATAAAACCACATTTCATTAATTAAAAACATAGAAATTTAAAACTTAAATTACTAAAATTAAACATTACATTGTCTAAATAAAATAAAAATTAAAAAACATAAAAAAACATAGAAAAATTCTAATCGTCGTCGTTGTCGTTACCGATATCATCCGCCTCGTCGTCACCGTCCTCATCCTTCTCGTCGTCACTATCGTCATCCTCCTCGCCTTCACCGTCATTTTGCCCTTGAAATTGTCTTTCCCATATGTATTCAGTCAAATCATATCGTACATTGTGATGTGTTTCACGGTTTTGTATTTCCAAAACCCTTGAGAAGTATGTCGGGTTGCTAACTTGTATTACTGCAGGTGGATTAAGTATATCGTTTGTGGTATATGAACAAATAGCTCTACCCTCTTCTTTTATTATCATGTTATGTAAAATAACACAAGCAGTCAACACTGTCGTCAATTTTTCCCTGTCCCATGTTCGTGTCGGATGTTTGATTATGTGCCACTTTTGTTTGAGGACTCCAAACACCCGTTCTACATCCTTCCTTGCAGATTCTTATGCTAACTTGAACATTTTTCGTTTATCGTCGCCCAGAAATGTGTATGACTTGACAAATGTAGCGTATTCTGGATATATCCCATCACATAGGTAATACCCATATTTATATTCATTTCCATTGACAACATATGACATTTCTGGTGCTTTACCCTGTAAAATATCGTTAAATATCGGAGACGCTTGGAGCACATTCAAGTCATTGTTTGACCCCGCCATACCAAAGAATGCATGCCAAAACCATAGGTCATTTGAAACAACCGCCTCCAAAATAACAGTCGGCACCCTATGATCACCTCGCGTGAACTAACCACGCCACGCGTTTGGACAATTTGCCCACTCCCAATGTGTACAATCAATGCACCAAGCATCCCTTGGAAAACCATTTTTAGCTTGATGCGCGACATACAATTGTTCGGCATCGCTTTTAGTCAGATGTCGCAAATATATGTCACGGTAAAACTCTATAACATACTCACAAAATAGATATGTACACTCTCGACCCGTCTTTTTAGACATTTTCAGATACTCATTTGATGCGTCTGCAGCGATGCCGTATGCCAATTGTCTAAGAGCGGTCGTACATTTCTGTATGGTAGTAAAACCGCGTTTACCTCTAGCATCCCATCGTAATTGGAAAAATTCATAATTACGTGCCAAATCTCTAGGTATACGTAAAAATAAATTTCTACTAATACGAAAACGTTTTTCGAATTTCGATAGATCATATAAACTATCAACGACAAAATAATCACGTATCAAAAGTTCATGTGCCGCCTCTCGATCCCGGTTGATCCATTTTCTATGTTTCTTCTCAACGTTTGAACTTTCGCCCCTCTCACGTACCATGTCTCGTGTCGCGGACAACAGTGTATACAAAATCAAATCCTCATAAGAATCGTTATCATCGGATGACGAAGAAATAGAATGTGGAAAATTATCCATTTTTTGGTTTAATGTGTGTGTTTGTTTTGAAAAAATATGGGTGTGTTTTAGTGGAAATTATGTGTAAAATGATTGTATATATAGAGAGAATTTGAAAAAATAATAAATATATATATTTTTAATTGTCAAACGGTCGCATAACGTTCCAAAATCGAATGGGCCAATCAAAGCTAGCGTCTTCATCCGTCTTCCACCTCGCACCATACGCAATCCACCGGACTTGGGGGCGGTGTTTACGCATGGGGAGGCGTGCCACCTCAGCCCAAGACACGTGACATTACCCCCATACCGGGTAGCCTAAATGGTAGTAGACCAGTGATTTGATTTCAAACCGAAGCGGTTTGTACCAAACTGCATTTTCCATAAACCGGATCAGTTTGTTTCCATTTCTTTCCAAACATTATTATTATTATTATTATTATTTATTTTAATTATTATTATTTTTTTTTTTTGTGTGCGCGCAAAATAGAGTTCAATTTTACCAAAAGTGTAAATAGAATGAGACACGAGGGTTATATTTGAAACTTTACCAAATGAAACTTCCCGCCTTCTTATTGTTCTCTCCGTTTTTAGCTCAAAATTAGATGAACAAAAAATATCGTCTGCTTGGATGATTTTACCCTCGGAAAATTCACATATCGGCCGCTCACCGTTAGATGTCTACGTGGCAAATCTTCTCTGACGCCGGGAATAGTTTCCGGTGGCAATGCTCCCACGTCAAGCTCTCAAGTGAACCACAAAAAGCCCTAATTGAGAAACCTAGCTCTCCTCACCATCTTCCTTCTATCGCCGATCTCTTGGTTCAAGGTATTATCTTCATAAATCGCAATTTCACATCTAAAAGTCCAATATTTTTTGTTTAGCTTTGGCGACATAATTTAAAATAGGAGGGAAATGATGGAGTTTAGTTTGCAATAAGTATCATAAGTGTAGGATGAATACTAAACGCTGAATTGATACATCTGAAACCGAATGAACACGTATATCTATGTAAATTGGCGTCTACAAGTACTACCTCAATCTGAGATTCTGTTCAAGTATTTGTACACAGATATACCCAGTAATTGAGTTGAGTAGTTGACTATGTAAATTAATGGAATGAGCACACATAGTAGGTGTTGAGTGATAGATTATTGTTTGTTTCCAAAACAGGATTCTCAAAGCTATACGAGGATCAAAACGATGAAATTGAGACCCCTCGTTCTTTCCAAACTGGATTGGGGAAACCGGTTGTTGTGAAGCAATCTTCCTTGATAAAAGCATCATCAATTCTTGGAGATCATAATGATGAAGTCACTGTTCTTCCCAAATTAAATCAAAGTGGTGAGATTGAGACCCCTCCGACTTTCCGAACTGGATTGGGGAAACCAGTTATTGTGAAGCAGCCTTCCTTGGTGAAAGCATCATCTATTCTTGGAGAGCAAGATGATGGAGCCACTGTTCTTTCTAAATCAGGATATTCGAAGCTGTACAAGAATAAAAGTGATGAAGTTGAGACCCCTCCTTCTTTCCGAACTGGATTGGGGAAACCGGTTGTTGTGAAACAATCTTCCTTGGTGCAAGCATCAGCCATTCTTGGAGATCAAGATGATGGAGCCACTGTTGGATATTCAAAGCTACATGAGAATCAAAGTGGTGAAATTGAGACCCCTCCGACTTTCCGAACTGGATTGGGGAAACCAGTTGTTGTAAAGCAATCTTCCTTGGTGAAAGCGTCATCCATTCTTGGAGATGAAGATAATAGAGGCACTTTTCCTTTCAAATCAGGATATTCAAAGCTACATGAGAATCAAAATAGTGAAATTGAAACCCCTCCAACTTTCCGAACTGGATTGGGGAAACCAGTTGTTATAAAGCAATATTCATTGATGAAAGCATCAACCATTTTTGGAGATGAAGATGATGGAGCCATTGTTTCTTCCAAATCAGGATACTCAAAGCTACATGGGAATCAAAGTGATGAAGTTAAGACCCCTCCGTCTGTCCTAACTGGATTTGGGAAACCAGTTGTTGTGAAGCAATCTTCCTCATTGAAAGCATCATATATTCTTGGAGATCAAAATGGTGGAGCCTCTGTTCTTTCCAAATCAGGATATTCAAATCCATATGGGAATCAAAGTGATGAAGTTGAGACCCCTCCAGCTTTCCGAACTGGATTGGGGAAATTGGTTGCTGTGAAGCAATCTTCCTTGGTGAAAGCATCATCTATTCTTGGAGATCAAGATGATGGAGCCATTGCAGATACAGGTTACCTTGTTTGTAGTCTCCTTGTAAGAATTATATACTGAATGAATTTTAGCATTGAGTGATGGAATATTAATTTTTATGAAACAGGATCGGTAAACCGAGAGGAAAATTCAAAAATAGGTGGCACCCCCTTCACATTTCGTACTGGATCCGGGAAATCAGTTGCTATAAAGCAGTCTTCCATGGCAAAAGCACTATCTATGTTTGGATGCCAAGATGATGATGCATTTGTAGACACAGGTCTATCTATTATCTACTTATTTAAGTTTCCAAAGAATCTTGTATGTCCAAAATTCCAAATCATTGTTATGCATATCTTTTTTTATAATGCTGGACTTATATATTTTTATTTGTACTTGTGTTAAAAATACTCTTTTACAGGTGGAGATGATGGAACCAGTTGCTCAAATTCCATGTTCCAAACAGGGTCAGGGAAAGCTGTGAACATATGCTCAACAGGTCTTATCAAAGCAAGAACATTGTTAGGATTGGAAGAAAATTCTGATCATAATGAGGCTTCTAAAGGCCTTGAACATGCGAATACAGGTGAATTCTTCTTCACACATTTCAATCTTCTTTGAGTTTCCAGATGACTAGTGCTAGAACTAATTTAGGGTTTCAAGATGCAGGTGAAATCAGGGAGGTTGCTCGAGGGTCTATTCTTTCTTCTTCTAGACCACCACCTATCAAGTTTCAAACAGCTGGTGGAAGATCTGTGAAAGTTTCTGGTGATGCATTGAAACGAGCAAGGAGTCTTCTAGGAGATCCTGATGTAGGGAACTTCTTAAAGGAAGGGGATGCATGTTATCCTGCATTTTCATCTAATAAGAAATTGGGGAATAACATGTTGAACAAAGAAAATAACGTGTGTAATTCTTGTAGTGATGGCATACCAAAAGCAAAGCAACAGTCTAATAACTTCATATCCCCTGTAAAATCAGTTTTATCTGATAAGAAGACTGTATCTAGGTTAGAAAATACAGGTTTGAGAAGTAATTTGATCAAAGAATTTGATGCAGCTGAACATGATATCACTCCCAAGGAGTATAATAATCATATCCCTTTGGTGGATATTTCAAATACTATTGGTTTGAGTGGAACCGGAGAAAAGAGGAAACCATCAAGTCGAATATATCCATCTCCATTCAAGAAGCCGCGAAATTCCAAATTCGTCCCTCCATTGAACAAAAAGTCAACATTCATCCCTCCATTGAACAAAAGCTCAACAGCAGTCTCTAATGGTAATTTCAAATACAGTTTATAAATTCTTAAAAGCTCTTTTATTTTGTTATGTTTATGAAGTATATGTTTGCATTAGGTACAATGCCCAAAATGCCTGAAGGATCATGCTTCAAAAAAAGGGTTTCCACTCGATACCCTTTTCAGTTTTCTCGCAAGTACATCAAGGAATATTTTGGAGAGCCTCCATCCTTTCATAATATGGTCAGTATACAACAACCACATTCTTTCAAATTTTGGTATATGTTTTAGTTTCAGCATTTGACACAATTTGTAATGTATTTATGTGAATAGTTTGAGAACATACCTGAATGGTTAAGAAAGATAAATCCAGAAAATGCAGAGAAACACATGTTTGAAGATGAATGTGGTTTAAAATGCATTGGTGTGGATGCCTTCTGTCACATGTTGACTCAATCAGGATGTTCAGCTCTTTCAAAAGAGTAAGTAACATATGGTTTTATTATTATAATAACATTTTCTCTTATGTTTGTCTTTGAGATTTATTTATTTTTTTTATTTTTTTTTTGTCACTGTAGATGGATTGCAAATCACTACAGATGGATAATCTGGAAACTTGCATGCTATGAGAGATGTTATCCTGCTAAATTTTCTGGGAAACTTTTGACTGTTTCCAATGTGGTAGAGGAATTGAAATATAGGTAGTTTCAGTTTCTCTGATTGGATTTCTTATTGACTGAGTTAATAGAAGCAAGTAAATAATTATTTATGTATGTCTTTTTGTAGATATGAAAGAGAATATAACAATGGTCACAGATCAGCTCTGAAGAGAATTCTAGAGGGAGATGCTCCTCCTTCTTCCCATTTGGTACTTTGCATAGCATCTGTAAAGTTAAAGTGTAATGAAGAACAAGATGCAGAGGTTCCTTCTGCATCAAATATAGAACTAACAGATGGATGGTAAAGTGAAGTTAAGATAGTAGATTTGAATCTGTATTCTGTGCTCCTTGTGGATGTTTAAATTCTTGTTCTGTTTTTTTAGGTACTCAGTTAAAGGTCTCTTGGATGATTTACTATTAAAGCAACTTCTTGCTGGAAAATTGTTTGTTGGACAAAAACTAAGGGTAACTTGGTCATTTCCCTAACTAGAATTCTCTTGTTCACCACAATATTCTTTCTGCTAACCATTAATAAATAATAATCCTTTTTGAAGATTTGTGGAGCTGGTTTAAGCGGATGGAATGCACCTGTTTCACCCCTTGAGGTTTGTGCCAATCTAATCTTTGACCCTTAACCATGTTTATAATTATTGTAAATTTTATAAAAAAAAAAAAAAAACTTATCTTTACCAGGCATCAAATATGATTAGCTTATGCTTGCACATGAATGGGACATATAAAGCTCATTGGGCTGAACGCTTGGGATTCTGTAAGAATTAGTTACATTTATAATTTGTTTGCTATCTTCTCTTTTTCTGTTCTCAACTTCTCATGCATGGTTGTGCTGCTTTTTTTTTCAGGTAAAAGTGGTTGTGTTCCATTAGCCCTTAAATGCATTAAAGGTTCTGGAGGTGTAGTTCCCAGCACATTAGTTGGAGTGACACGTATATACCCTGTTCTATACAGGGAAAGGTATGTTGAAGCTTATTATAAAATATAGTCTTGTGACAAGTAATTGATACGTATTTGTTGTTTTTCACATTCAGGTTAAGTGAGGGGGGTTTTGTGGTGAGATCAGAGAGGATGGAAAGCAAAAGAATGCAATTGTATGACTACAGGTAAATAAATTTACACTATCAATATTGGGATAGTTTTATTTAAAATATATATATATATATATATATATATATATATATATATATATATATATATTTGGGTATTTGTAGACGTTCAAGCATTGTGGAAGGGGTTATGTCGGAGTTTGAAAGAGGATTCAAAAGTTTTGAAACTGATGATGATGATGAAGGTGAGAAGATTTCACATCTACTAGAAAAAGCTGCAGAACCAGAAGTTTTAATGGCTGAGATGACTTCAGAACAACTCACTTCCTTTGCTTCTTATCAAGCAAAAATGGAGGTAACCTAACCGAAACCCAGTCTCGATCTCTTGTCTTTACTGTGTGTGCAAAAAGACATGAATGCCCTTCTCATCTCATTTTTTGTAATTGTAGGCAAGTAGACAATCAGAGATGCAGAAATCAATCAAAAAGGCATTAGATGAAGCTGGATTAAGTAGGAACGAAGTGAACACGCTTATGAGGGTTAGAGTCGTTGGTTTAACTAGTAAAATTCACAATCACATCGCCTCCCCACAACCACAACAAGCCTTGATAACAATATGGAACCCAACTGAGAAACAGGTTTGAATTTTTTTTTTTTTTTTGTTATTCAGACATTGGGATTTGAAAATTTCTAAAGTATGTTACCATTGTAATTGCATTGCAGCAATCAGAGTTAGTGGAGGGGCAAGCATATACTGTTTCAGGTCTTACACCGATTAACTCTGATTCATGTACTATTTATATGCGTGCAAGTGGATCTACAAACAAATGGCGCCCGTTATCTTCATCATCAACTCAACACTTTCTGTAAGCCACACACACATACGGAATCTACTTTTCAATATTGGGATGCGTATCTATATGTAAAGGAAAAAAATGTTTTTTTTTTTCAGGCCGTTTTTTAGTCCTCGAAAACCAGTGTCGTTATCGGAAATGGGTGAAGTTGCAATTTCCAGTGAATTTGATGTTGCTGCATTTGTGGTGTATGTGGGTGAGGTGCATAAGTTTGGTGCTGAGAAGAGGCAATGGGTTTTTGTAACAGATGGTACTAGTATTTCACCACAACATGACCTTTCTCTCTCAGATTCATTGCTTGCAATCAGCTTCTTTTCACCATCTGTTGACTGTGATTCCATTGTACCAATCAATTACAACCTTGTAGGATCAACGGTATGGGTATTTTTTAATTTATATTATTAAAATATAAAATTTGACAAAAAGGAAATAAAATTTGAATTTGATTTCGATTGCATTAGGTTGGGTTTTGTAATCTGATAAAGAGGGCCAAGGACCAAATGAATCGTATATGGGTGGCTGACGCGACTGAAAACTCTACTTACTTTTTAAGTTATGATGGTGGGAATTCAAAACACTTGAAGGATGCAGCTGCTTCTTCTGATCGATGGGCAAAAGCAAAAGTCTCTACTCTGGTATCAATTTCAAAAATTACTTTTTCTGACCCTCGTACATACAGGTATAATGATACTAATGTAAGTTTTCAAAATGCAGATAATTGAGAAGCTAAAGGGAAAAATATCGTCTATGGTTGCTAGAAAGGTATAGTTTTCATCTTTTCATCAAATGTGGTGTATATCACATTCTTTTGTAACAACTATTATTTGTGTACAGTAGATAAAATGAAAGTTCCATTTTCTTTCTCTCTTATGACCGACTACTAGTATAACTGTGACTTTTATGCTTGAAACAAATTATAAAGGTGTTGATTCTATAACGCTCAAAATAATATATACTATAAGACAAAATGTTTCATTAGATGAGTTATAAATAACATTATACATTTTGTCAAATTGTATTTATTACAGAAAAGACTTCAATCTTTTTATTTTAATTGTGTTGCTTACAATTTTATTTTTATTATATATATTTTTTAGTCTTTTGATCGATGCATTGTTAAGTATCTTACATACAAATTAAAAATTATTTTATACATTTAGTAAATCTTATTGACATCTTCAACAATAATAAAATTTTCATCATCGTCAAACCCACAAATCAATCCCATACGACACAAGCGGTGTACACGTGTGGAAATAAAGCCGAGCCCAACAAATACCATGCAAAGAAGTTCAAAAAAACAGCTACAACTAATATAAGAGGGGGCCAAATTATTTGCTGTAAAAAGTTATGTTATATTCTATTAAAAATGTTGATATTGACCTAAAAGAACAAATTATGTATATATACCATCTTAAAAAATGCAGATAGCAGCACCTTTGGCAATATGATTTCAACTTTTAAAACAAAACTAATTGTGGAGGGGAGCATGAGGTTGATAATGACAAAATTTTACAAAAATTGCAAACCATCTCAATCTCCTTGTATCAACAACCTTCTCTATCAAGTATCAATAGTTGAGTGAAATGTTAAAATCCCGATGACTTCAGCCACATCGTTTGCAAAGAAAGACAAGACAATTCTGTATTTTCAGTAAATGATAAACCATCTTTAGGGAGCCTATTAGGCCTGGCAATTGGGTTGGGTTCAGGTTGGCGGGTCAGAATACATTGACCCAACCCAACCTATATAATATATGGGTTGGCGGGTCACGGGTTGGCGGGTTCAAAACATCAACCCAACCCAACCCATATAACCCGTATAAGTATATGGGTTTGTGGGTTAATGGGTCGAACCCAACCCGTATAACCCATTTAATAAGCAACAAATTTTAAAATGAAATAAAAAAATACAAATAAAATGAAGTCATAAAGTCTTAAATATTCAACATAAAGTCATAAGTGTAAAGTCATAAACAAGAGTGACGACGACGAGTGGTGTGCGACAATTGGAGGACGAGAAGACGAGTGGTGTACGTGCGACACTACGACAGTCGATGACTCGATGCCTCAATCGACAGAGACGGGAGAAACGGAGTCGTGAGTTTGGAGAATGAAGACTGAATTTCTTTTTGATTAGGGGCTTCTTAGGGGCTAGGGCACGCTAAGTCGACTCGAAGATGTTTTGCAGTTTTGGAATTCGGAAAACGATTAAACGATAATCAAATATTCAAAACTGATAAATAATTAAACATATTTTTTAAACATTATATATATATATATAAAATCGGGTTGGCGGGTTGACCCGTGAACCCAAATAGGTAACCCAACCCAACCCATGAAATAAACGGGTTGGCGGGTCAAAAATCTCAACTCAAACCCGTTTATTTTCGTGTTGGGTCAGTGTCGGGTTACGGGTTGGGTCGAGGATTGCCACCCCTAGAGCCTATTGTAAATATGAATGCCCATTTTTTTTAAATAAAATAAATATTAATAATATCCATTACTTGTAATATTCGGAATGTCAGTGCCGAACTTATCTAATAATATAGTATGTTAAAATCAATGTTTTAAAAACCGGTTTTTAGTTGAACCGGTATGGTTAACGGTTTAACCGGTTCGACCGCTGAGTAAACCGGTTTCTATAATTTTCATCTTTTTTCGTATTTTCATACACATACATACATACACAAATCAAGAATTTGATGTCTACAAGTTCAAACATTAAAATACACATGAAAAGAAGTTGTAGATCAATCTAAATACATTAAAATAACTAATAACCATAAGTTTTACATCAATCCACATGCATTAAAAAGAAAATAAAGTCCTAGATGAATATAAACACATCAAAAAACTTCATAACATTTATCATGTGTTTTTATTCAGAAAAATTTTAATAAATGTGAAAAAACTACCAAAGTTTATTATGCAAAAGGTTTCAATTCCATGTGTTTTTATTCAATTTAACCGGTTTAACCGGTTTAACTGAACCGGTTCAACTGGATTTTTGTAAAAACCGGCCGGTTCGATCCGGTTCAGAAATAAACATAAAACCGGTAATAGTTGAACCGCTCCCTTCCCCGATTCCCGGTCCAACCGGTTTTTAAAACATTGGTTAAAATCTACAAATATGTATAATAATAATAATAATAATAATAATAATAAATTTAGTTTATAACTTGGTAAGTGTGTACAACAAATAAGAAAATCTACGATTTTCATATTATCCATTACAGATTGTTATGAGCTATCTTCGGTTTCGTTCTTCATATTATCCGATTTTCTTGTTATGTATTATCCCATGAACATATACTAGTAGCTTGTATAATTTGACTATAATACCGTAATAAAATTTATATTGGATTAAAAAATAGGAAAAAACTCTGGCCATGGAAGCAAAGCCGAGATGAGAGGAAATCGTAGATGGCCAAATGTCATCTGCAATTTTCGTCATCTTGTAAATAAAAGGAAAAAAATATATAGAGTTGGCCGAAATTGAAGACGAGACCATGAAACCGCAGCCCAGCAGCAGACGAATTTGAAGCAGTATTTGTCCGGATTTGATGAAACTGTTGAGTACAAGAAACCATGGATGAGCTTCCCTCATCTGTGGTTTGTGTGACTATTTTATGAAAACTCTTAACTTTTAGTCATTTTATAAAAATAAATAAATAACTAAATTTGTAATTACATCCAAATTAAATTATTAACTTAAAAAATAATTTTATAAAGGAAAAATATAAAATATAGAATAAGAAATAAACAAAGCCAAAGAATGTGAATGAAACATATCCGATGAAATATGGACCCAAAAAAAGATGGGAGGTTTATTTGCACCCTTATTAAATTAATAACATCTCAACTCCTAAAAGGCTAAAACAAAAATAAAAATTGGAGGGAGTATGAAATCGATAACAGCTGAAAACTCGCTGAAATGTAAATCATCGTCATAATCTCTCAAATTTCAACCCAAAACCCAACATTCTCTCTCAAAACTTGAAACTTGGGAGAGATATTAAAAAAATTCCAAAGCCATATTCATATCCAGAACTTGATCAAGAAAACAAAACATGGATTCGCTTATGGGTTTTTGGTTTAATAGCCAAGCCAAAGAGATAAGTAACGTCGGCAAAGATATCAATGTAACTTCTTCTTTCAATCTCTCTCTACACATAATTCATTTAACGAAACCAATGATTCTATTTCACGAATTGGATTAGAATTTACGATTGAATTCCCTAATTATTTAAATAATAATTATAATAATAAATCCCGAAACTCATCTGATTTTTGATTCTGGATGTACATGCTATTGCTATCTAATTCAATCTCTTCTATGAATGAACTTGTAACAAGATATAATAACATCAAATCTAAATTGAACATCATCGCTCCATAATCTTTCGTTTATTTTATGAATCAAAATGAGGTTTCCATAGACACGGAAATAATATTAATAATAACTAACAGATTTCATAAATTTGATTACAATTTATTTCTTAGCCTCAAATACCAAAAGCTTTCCTGTTTTCTGGTTAGGATGTGCCAAAAAATATGGGTAAAGGAGCAAAGAAGATAGTGAAAAATGCGACAGGTTTGTCTCAATTACAATTAGGTTTTTTTTTTTTTTCTTTTGTAATTTTGAATTATGATTTGCAATTGCATACAGAAAAGAAGCAAAAGCCATTGCCTGAAGTGCTAAAAGAGTATGATTTACCCTCTGGTTTATTTCCTAGAGAAGTGAAAAAATATGAATTGGACGAAGCAACAAAAAAGCTGACAGTTACACTCCCTAAATTCTGTGAAGTCACTTACAGAGACTCGTCTATTTTAAGGTTCTCAAACAGCGTCACAGCTCATCTTGAGAAAGGAAAACTAAGCGAAATTGAAGGACTCAAGACTAAAGGAATGTTATGGGTCAAAGTCACATGCATTGCACGTGAAGATACAAAGCTTCATTTCACTGCAGGGTTAGGAAAAACCAGGGAAACTAAAGTTTACGAAATGGTTAGAGATGGAATTCCTGTAGACAAATTCTAAATCTGTCTTCTCATCATTATCTTCTGTTACACATCAACACCATGAATTCATGTAACATATATGTATTGTATCATTAATTAATTAATCTACTTCATTTCATTTTATGTCATGGAAACATACCAAAACAAAGTACGCAAAATTCAACACTTCCATAACAAAAATTGTACCAAATGCAATAAAAAAAAAAGTTTAACAATGATAATAATTGTAACATAACAAAAACTATGAAAAGCAATAAATCATTAAAGATCTAAGCAGTTGCAGCAACAGCAGCTTGCCTCTTCCTAGCTTCCTCAATGATGGTCAACTTAATACCCTTGCCCTTGGGGAGAGACACCCATGGCTTTGTTCCCTTTCCAAGGGTGAACACATTGCCCAAACGGGTAGCAAATTCATGCCCTGTTGAATCTTGAATGTGAACTGTTTCAAAGCTTCCCTTATGTTTTTCCCTGTTCTTCAAGATTCCAACACGCCCTGTGTTTCTTCCTCCAGTCACCATCACAACATTTCCCACATCAAATTTGATGAAATCAACAATCTTGTTGGATTCCAAGTCGAGTTTAATGGTGTCATTGGCTTTGATTAGAGGATCAGGGTAACGGATTGTTCTTCCATCGTATGTGTTGATGTATGGAATCCCCTTTGACCCAAATTGGACTGATCTTACCTTGCACAATTTAAACTGCAAAAAAGAAATATATTTTTAGATGACAAAAACAAACTTCTACTTTGATCATATAATGTGATCTGAATAAAACAAACCTTGGATTCTTCATCCCTGACCGAGTGGAGTCTGAATCTTCCTTTGGTGTCATAAAGAAGACGGAAGTTCTCATTGGTTTTGGGAATGGAGACAACATCTGTTGTTACGCAAAGAAAAGAATTTCTAATCAGTGTCTGTATCCATTCAGTTGTGTATAAAATAGATATGAAAAGGTGAAGTCTGAATAGTCTACTCACCCATGAAACCAGCAGGGTAAGTTTTGTCAGTCCTGACCTTGTTGTCAACAAGCACATGCCTTTGCATCAGAATAGATTGAACCTCACGATAAGTCAAAGCATATTTCAACCTGTTACGAAGGATCAGGATCAAGGGCAAGCATTCCCTTGATTTGTGTGGTCCAGATGAAGGTTTGGGAGCCTTGAAGACAACAAGTAAGAAGATTAAATAACATCTAATCACCAATGAGAAAATCAATTACAGAAATGACAAGAATTAAGAGTTCAAAAAAGAGTAACTTACGAAAGCACCACCAAGTTTATCGAGCATCCAGTGTTTAGGGGCATTGAGCCTCTTCATGTGCTTCTTCAAACCCCTCGCCTTTGATAGAGAAAAAAACAGCGTCAGTAAACATAGTCTAAGAGTTCTAATGGCATAAATCCCAACACACGACCAACAAATCCATAAATGTCAACTTCACTTCGAATAGAAAGATGTTTTAACACAAACATCGCATTTGTTTTAAGTAACAGACTCGGCTAATTTCAAGACAAACTATCATAAAACCTAACAGATTAACGATGGATACGAAAATACGTAAAGTTGATAGTTGAAGGCCTCGTAGTCCAACAGCATGCCAAACAAAACCAAAACTATTTGTAGATCGCATAACATTTTCATACTCGAATGAAAAACGGATTATCAAGATCAAATAACTTGCAGATTACAAATAATAGATAAATGTCATGAAACGGGACATAAGATAAAACAGAAGCTATCAAATTCAAAATGGCATTCAAATGAACGTTTCTGTAAGTAAGATACAGAAAGAGAAGGAGCATACCATGGTTGCGTTGTAGTGACTACTTGGAGATCTCCGGTAGTCTCGTCCGGTTAAACTGCGCCTCTCCTCCTCACTCGCAGCCGCACACCCTCTTCGATGATCTCTTTTTATTGAACCCTAAAACATATGTTTATATAAGTTGCAGAACCTATTTCAGATGGTGGAATTTGAATGGGCTTGAACCATATACGGACTGGGCCTGGTTTAATAAGGCTACTAAAATTTATATGTATTTTATTGTAACTATGTAAGAGATGATAAGGTTTTCTTGATTTATTTATGATGTTATTTTATCACTTTTTTTTCTGAATAATATAGTTCAATACATATCGATGGAAGGTAAACGGGCAACAAGCTGCGCCGCTAGCCCTTTCTGAATGACAAAACTAATTCTTTTGAAAATAACATATGTGGATCTAGGAGATATGACATTATATTGCATGACCCTTTGAACTCTGTTGAGGAGCTTCACCGCCTCTGGTGCGAGTAAACCAAATATATCAAATGCAAAAGGTACAAATACATGTTGATTTTCTATACATGCATTCTCGTGTTTTGCCACTTTGCACGCAGCAGCTTTCAAAACGACATGCCCTATTGTGAAACCTCCGCTCCTCAAACCGACGAGAGGAGAGACCCCAGTAAGATCCACACACGCGTGCTTCTCTCCTACCCATCCAAAGACCAAAATGTCAGCCGGTCTAAGTGTGGATCTTCCATCTTGCGGTGAAACATCCCAAAAATACGGTCCAAAATTTTCGTTTTTAATTATTCATAAAATCATAAATACCATCCATCATCTCATAAAACATAAGTAATGTATCACGAAATCATCATATCAAAAACCATGTGTCAAAATATCAGAGTCTAAAACATCCCGGGCTGAACGAATGGTGTGTGCACTGCAATCATCCTAAGCTCTTCCCTTTGCTACCGGAAGTACCTGAAACCAAAACTGAAAATTGTAAGCACGAAACTTAGTAAGTCTCCCTAAACTACCCCATACCATACACATAACATGTAACATGCAGCTATGAGATATAGGTCTCGCCCACACTCAAGGAGATACGGGCCCCCGCCCACACTCGGCTAACTATGAGATACGGGTCTCGCCCACACTCAGCTACTTCAGAGATACGGGCCTCGTCCACACTCCGCTACTTCAGAGATACGGGCCTCGCCCACACTCTGCTAACTAAGAGATACGGGCCTCGCCCACACTCAGCTGGCTAGGAGGTACGAGCCTCGCCCACACTCCGCTATTCGGGTGATACGGGCCCCTGTGCACACCCCGCTAACTAAACAAGTATCACACAGATAACAAGTATAATTATAATCTATCAGTTCAATAACATACTTAGATATTACTAAGATACGGGCCCAACCCACACTTAGCTACTAATCATAAACAAGTCTAAGATACGGGCCCAACCCACACTTAGCTACTAAACATAATCATTCTAAGATACGGGCCCAACCCACACTTAGCTACTCTACACGGGTCGGCATTAGTGCCTTAGACCCGTTCCTACTGAAGGAAACTCACCTCTCAAGCTGGCTGATGAAATCTCGTGTAAGGAATCTCTGATGGCTGATCCAAAGACTCCCGGGCTATCATTATCACAATAATCACTTAGTCAAAAATTAAGAATCCTTCTAAGGGTAAAATGACCATTTTACCTCTGGTCAAAGTCAACATTATGGTCAAAGTCAACCTTCTGGTCAAAGTCAACCTTCTGGGTTTACCCAACTCGCCGAGTTGCTCCATTAACTCGCCGAGTCCTAGAATCCTGAAATCGCGATCTAACTCGTCAAGTCACCCCCTGACTCGCCGAGTTCACTGGCTACTCATAGTCGCGATTTGGCGAATCAACTCGTCGAGTCCCTTCACCGACTCGTCGAGTCCTACCTTAAGCTAAAACGAGACAACACTACCCAACTCGTCGAGTTCCTCTATGGACTCGACGAGTTCCTCTGTCTGTTTGGCCATATTAACAGATTAAGCCTCTGCTCTCCAAATCCAAAGTCCATACTTCATCTATATACTGGAAATGCCTTTTTTTAAGGGTAAAGTTTCCAACTTTACCCGTTGATAATCTTTCTTAATGGGTTTAGCTAAAAACCCTAGTTCTTTAGGAAATAGATCTTTGTCCAAAAGCCTTATCACTCCATACGAAAGCATGAAAACCCAGATCTAGGTCCTAGACACCAAAGGAACATGTAAAGCCTTATCACTCCATACGAAAGCATGAAAACCTAGATCTACGTATCCCAACTGCCACCGAAATCCAAAACACATGCGCGTTGCATGTCCTCAAGAGTCTGAATCGTCCTCTCGCTCTGCCCGTCCATCTGAGGGTGGAAAACGGTACTGAAGTGGAGACGAGTACCCATCTCGTCGTGAAACCGCTTCCAAAATCTGGAAGTGAAACGGACATCTCGGTCTGACACCACTGAGACAGACACTCCATGTTGTGTCACTATCTCACGCACGTATATCTCAGCCAGCTTCTCGGCCGATATGCTCTCTTGGATCGGGATAAAATGAGCACTCTTGGTCAACCGATCCATGATGACCCATGTCGAATCTACTCCACGTGCGGTATTGGGAAGCTTCGTAATGAAATCCATAGTTATATCTTCCCATTTCCATACGGGAATGTCCAACGGCTGCATCTTTCCGTGGGGCGCTGATGTTCGGCCTTGACCTTCCTGATACATCTTCATCCCCCGGGATGGATGGAGAACCTCGACTTGTGGGCCTCATCCATCAGAACCTGTCGTACTCCGCCCCAGTACGGAACCCATACCCTCTTATGCAGGGTCAACAACCATCGGCTGTCATAATCAAATGAGGCCACCCGACCTACGATCCGTTCGCACTTCTGGCGCTCTTCCTTTAGGCCCTTTACCTGCGCCTCTCTGATCTGCTCCAACAATGGAGTAATCACTGTCATCCTCAGATAGATGTCTCTAATCGGGGCCGCTGCCGCCTTGCGGCTCAGGGCGTCGGCCACCACACTGGCCTTGACCGGATGGTAAAGGATCTCACAGTCGTAATCCTTCACCACATCTAACCACCGACGCTTTCTCATGTTCAGATTCGGTTGATCCATAAGGTACCTCAAACTCTTGTGGTCCGTGTAAATGGTACAACGGACCCCATAGAGGTAATGCCGCCAAATCTTGAGGGCGAAAACCATATCCCCCAGCTCTAAATCATACGTCGGATAGTTAGCCTCGTGAGGCTTCAACTACCTCGAAGCGTAAGCTATCATGTGAGCTCGCTGCATCAATACCGCACCCATGCCTGTAATCGAAGCGTCACAGTAAACCACGAAGTCATCGACGCCCTCTGGCAAAGTCAAGATTGATGCCTCGCACAACCACTGTCTGAGAGTCTCGAAAGCTTCCTACTGCTTAGGCCCCCAGCGGAAGGTCACCGACTTCTTGGTCAGTCGGGTCAGAGGAACAACGATCTTGGAGAAGTCATGAAAAATCCCCGGTAATAACCCGTTAGACCAAGGAAACTCCGAATCTCAGTTGGAGACCTCAGAATCTCCCACTGCATCACGGCCTCTATCTTGGCAGGATCGACCAGAATACCCTTCTGGTTGACATGCTGCCCAAGAAACTGCACCTCACGCAACCAGTACTCATTCTTGGAGAACTTTGCAAAAAGTCTCTCCCTCCTCAGTGTGTCCAACACCTCCCTCAGGTGCTCCTCATGTTGCTCTTGAGTCTTAGAATAGACCAAGATATCATCAATAAAGACTATCATAGACCGATCCAACATCGGTATGCACACGCGGTTCATGAGGTCCATAAACACGGCTGGAGCATTGGTGAACCCGAACGACATCACCACAAACTCATAGTGACTATAGCGAGTCCTAAAAGCTATCTTCTGCACATCCTCATCCCTGACTTGCATCTGGTGATAACCCGATCGCAGATCAATCTTGGAGAACCAAGATGCATCATGTAGTTGGTCAAACAAATCATCGATCCTCGGTAGGGGATAACGGTTCTTCACCGTTACCTTATTCAGCTCCCGGTAGTTTATACACATGCGATGTGACCCGTGCTTTTTCTTCACAAACAGGATTGGGGCTCCCCATGGCGAACTGCTCGGCCTGATAAATCCCTTGTCTAGCAGCTCCTACAGCTGCGTAGACAACTCCTGCATCTCGGGAGGAGCCAACCGATATGGTGCCTTGGCTATCGGAGCTACACCAGGGACTAGTTCAATCCTAAACTCAACCTGTCTCTCTGGAGGTATCCCAGGTAAATTCTCCGGGAATACATCTGGGTACTCTCGCACTACCGGTACGTCATCGACTGTTGCCTTACCCTTATCTCGGGTATGCATGACATAGGAGACATAACCCGCGTAACCCTACTGAAGGTAGCGCCTCGCTCTCACTGCTGAGCAAAGAGTCTATCCACCCTGCAACCTCTCGCCCTAAATCACTAACCCTCCCCCACTAGGAGTCTGAACCCTCACTAGCTGCTAGTGGTGAGCAACCCAAACCAAGAAACCGACTAAAACCGAAACCGAAAAAACCGAAACCGAAGCAAAACCGACGGTTAGGGTTTGAATTTTTTAAAAACCGAAAAATCGGTTTCGGTTTTTACCCAGAAACCGACCCATCCAACCCGAGAAACCGACCCATACTTAAAACCGACAAACCGCCCCAAGAAACCGACCCATCCAACCCGAGACACCGACCCATACTTGATTGTTTTTTGGTTGTAATAGACTATTCCGGGCTTTGTTTGTGACTTGTAATAGACTATTTGTTGTAAGATTCATCTTTTTTGAAGTATTTAACTTAAATTTGGTGTTTTTTGAAGTATTTAACTTGTTGTTTCAATTATGAAAAATGGGTTAAAACCCAAAACCCATGGGTTTAAACCCAGAACCCATGAATGTATGGGTTGAACCCAAGAAACCGAAAAACCGCCCAAACCGACCTCAGAACCCGAGAAACCGAACCGACCAGAAACCGATCCTATTGGGTTCTGAAAACCAGAAACCAACCATTTATGGGTTGGGTTGGGTTTGGGTCCAAAACCGACCCATGCACACCCCTACTAGCTGCTGCTCGCAGTCGATCACTGCCCAATTGGGGCTCAACCAA